TTCTTCAGTTTGTTTGTATTTTTGTTAACAAACATAATAATAAAAAATGTTCATTGTGATAAACGAAATAATAGTTTGATTTAAGTAAAAGATTTTGTTCTTCCCGATTTGTAAAAATATCCTTACGTGACTTAAAAAATATATATTATTTTCCAAATCTGCATACCTGAATTATGGAAAATCCGTTAGTAACACTAAAACAATTTTTATGAAGTTTAAATTCGCAGGGCTGTGTTATTCTACGTAATCGCCACAACACTACTAGCAATCTGAGATTGGTATTGTTGGAATTTTGTAAACAAAAATAAAATATGCGACAGGCGGAGAATTCACACAAAACCAAGAAAATTAATTCAGTAAAACATATCATTGTGAAAGTCACTTCAGCTTCTTTACATTTTAAACTTACTGTCAGTTATACGCACGTTGAACGCTGGCATGGTTTGGTGTTAGGGTGTTCAACTCCCAAACGTCGAATCCCTTCACCGAAAATGCTCGCCCTTTCAGCTGTGGTTGTGTTATAATGTAATGGTCAATCCAATATTCGTTGTTAAAGAGTAGTCCAAGAGTTGGCAATGAATAGTGTTGACTAGCTGCATTCTCTATAATCTATCACTTTAAAATTAAAGAAGGCTAGCTCAGACAGCCCTCGAGTTACTTTGCGCGAGATTCAAAACAAACAAATAAAAACACCCTACTAATTGAACACAGTTCCAAAATATAGTTGCACTGCCAAATAACTGTATGTAACTGTTCCTACAGCAAACGTTTGTTACGGCTACCTTCATTCAAAGTTCAGTAACGTTACTACAGTTGAAACAATATTGGTTACACTTGTTTTGAGGCAGTTAGTGTGATAACAGATTATTTACAGATCTAGAGTGGGTTTCCTATAAAGATACTTTGTAACGGACTAAACAAAACACCGCTACAACAAAGGTCAAACAAAAACAAGTTATTCAAGTATAACAACAAAAGTAAAAAAAAAATAACTTTCAAACAACTAGATTTAAATGTTATCAATTACAAAAAAAAATAGTAAACCGTGCCTGGCCAGGACTAAATACAAATGTTAATAAACAATATAACATAATTCTGAATGAGATTAATTTCAATTAATACCAAAGGAATTGGGGGAAAAGAACCAGAAGAAGAAAAATCCCTAATTCACCAGGGAATAGCACAATGTTCCAAAATTAAACCACTTCTCAAGATCAATAACAATATCGAGCAATAATTTTTTCTAATTATTTCTCTTGAACCACAGCGTGTAATTTTGTGCTTAATTACAAACAAACAAACTTATGAACCAACTCGTTTCTGAAGATCAAGGAAGTTTTTTTATTTAATGGTTAGACTACGGGGTTACACCTTACGTGACTATCAATTACCATAAATCTACATAATCTTTCACAACACTAATATCTGTATGTCATCGCTAGGAGAAATTTGTGTCAGTTTCATAATACATATATATATATATATATTCAAAAATCTTGGTGTTCTAGATAGCAGGTGAGTTATTACTTTAATATAACTAAAAATTCATAGTTGAACTAAACGATAAAAGGAGTAATAAATGAACTATAAATAAAACCATAACAAGATAAAAGTTGAATTCGTCATCTCTCACGTATATAAATTACACTTTATATTGTACGCCACTGAAGTTTCTCGGCACCAGAGGTCATCAGAATCGCTGGATTAGACCACGCGAAGTTTTGAAATTTTATTGTTTTGTTGAATTCGCACAAAGCTAATCAAGGATTATATCCTCTAGCCGTCCCTAATTTAGAAGTGATAGACTAGTCAACATCACCCACCGCCAGCTCTTGGGCTACTATTTACCCCAATGAAAATTGAGATTGACCGTCACATTATAACGTCCCCACGGGGCTGAAAGGGCGAACATGCTCGATAACGGGATTTGAGCCTGCGCTTATCAGATTTCGAATCGAACAAACTAACTGCCATACCATGTCAAACCTGGAGCTGACATTGAGACGATATACAGTCAATCCAGGCAGGAAAGGTTCACACCATGCCTGCAGTTCACACTAAGACGACACATACAGTCAGTCCACGTAGGAAGGTTTCACACCATGCCTGCAGTTCACACTGAGATGACATATACAGTCAGTTCAGGTAGGAAAGTTTCACACCATGCCTGCAGTTCCCACTGAAATGACATGTACAGTCAGTCCAGGTAAGAACGTTTTACACCATGCCATGCATGCAGTTGACACTGACAAGACACATACAGTCAGTACAGGTAAGAAAGTTTCCCACAATGCTATGCCTGCAGTTGACATTGACAAGACACATACAGTCAGTCCAGATCGGAAAGTATCCAGAGTCAGTCTAGCAATAAATCGATGGTAACGCAACGATAATATTGTTCATGACACTGCCAATATAGATTTGCCTATAATATTGTAGAATTTAAAAATAAAAGTATGTTTTTGGAGTTAGGACAGGTCATGAAAAATATTTCACTGTTTTTCATAAAAATTAATATTTATATTACAGATTGTGAAAACACTTATAAAGCTATTATCAATGAACTTGTCATAATTTATTGGCGTTTTTCCTGCCTTTTGTTTCAAACAATGAGACTCTTGCTTTCTGGTTTTATTACGCTGTTTCCTGCTAGCAATTGTAAGCAATAAGATGTTGCTGTTGTTATTTAAATGTTATGTCAAACATTGGTTTAAATAACGTACTTTATCTTCTTCTGTAAAAACAGTGCGTCTTTCTTCACAAATATTCTCTATATTCTTCCTTTAACTTCTTCACTAATGCAAGTTTTTGCGTACTAAGGAAACTGATAAATCAGTATCTACCTTACACTCGATCTATGATAATATTGTATCCAACATAAGTTTCACGGTAATGTATTGGCTTTAAACCAACCAGGACTCTTTTTTTATATATAGTTCTAGGACCATATATTATAGATTTTCCTTTTCTGGTACGATTTTAGCGTTTATTCCCGGAAAGTTTACAATAGTCTCATAAGAATTTCTTGTACAAAATGTCCTAATATATTTTCTTATTGAATCGGAGCTAAGCGTCGTTTTCTGGTAGCTTTATGGCACAAGACAAGAGGAGGAACCATTTTACCAACTTAGAGGATTTAATAAAAATTCACCCTGTAAAGACAAACAACTAAAAAGTATTAGGAATTAATGGTCATATTTTCTGTCGTTGATGATTTTATTTGATCCACTTAATCGCAAATCATCATTCTCAGGAAGACCTAATCTCAAAGATTCCTTACCAATTTCATACAAAAAAACTTTGCAAATATCAAACGAAATGCAATGTAAATATTTTAGGTTGCCATTTTTAGAAACGTTGGATTATTGTACAAACACAATTACTAGTATTAAAAGCCACTACATAAAGAGCGAAATCATCGTTAAGAATTGTATGAATGGTAGATGTAATAATTTACCTGACATTTGTGAAGAACGTTAGAGTAATATCCATCATGACGACCATCACATTTAAAGGCGATATCTTCGGGCAAGGCAATGTAAAATGGATAAGAGGTTAGGTCCACACCGTTCAGTTCTCGAGGGCGGTTTGGGTCCGACAAATAGTCAATGTATCTTCCATCATCACGAGGTGGATAGTAGCGTCGGGGTTTAGTTGTGGTCGGCGGAAGTGTGGTGGTGGATGTGGTTGGTGTTTCAGTCTCCTCTAAAATTTGTTGAGGGACATTTCGAGGTGATTCTGGACGAATATTGCCGGCATTAACAGGTCTACTTCTAAACCTGGGTCGACGAAATCTTTCACGCCCTTGGAGTAACGGTCGTCTTCTCCGAGGAACTGGGCGCTGAGTTGTAGTAGTTGTAGTGGTTGTTAAGAGATAGTCTTGATAGTAATCATAATAGTCATCATAGTCATAGTAACTAGGACTTTCTGTTGTTGTTGTTACTTGTACCTTGTCAGGACTACTTCTATGCCTTCCTGGTAGTCCAAATGCTGGACGTGGCCGTCTTTGAAAAACTTGTCTTTTTTCCTGTCGGAAAAAACAAGGATAAACCAAGATAGTTTGGGTAGTTGGAAATTCGTAATTACCTATTAAAATGTTTCTGTTGGATGAGATTTAACGTTTCTGTCGAACAGCAAAACAGATCGTCATGGGTTCAATTATTTATTTTCTGTTAAGCATCTTTTATCTCAATTCAAATATTTAGTCCATGTTACTTATGTTATCAACATGATGTACTTATTAAAAAAAATCAATATTTATTTATTCACATATTGGCTAAATTAGTCTAATAATTAAAAATAGTATAATATTTTAAAGCTAACCTATATTAATTTGAAAAGTAAATAACAATGACGATAATCCCCTGGTGGGTCAGCTGTAAATTTAGATGCTTACAACACTAGAATCCGAGGTTCAATTTCCCACGGAGGACAAAGTGCAGATAGCTTATTATGTTTCTTTGCGTTAAAACAACAACATCGGGGATGATGTATACATAATTCCCAAATTAGCCATATAGAATAGTACGTTGTAAGATGACGTCGTGAATATTTTCTTTGTTATAAAACCAAAGTGAATTTCACACGCTGATGATCGTAATTTTATTATATAAATTAACATTATTGCTTTATATAAATTAGAGCTAAGCGTTATTTTCTGGTAGCTCTGTCACACTAAACATGCCCGCCATAGGGAGGAACCACTTTACCAATTTAGAGGATTTCATAGAAATTCATCCTGTAAAGACGAATAACTAAAAAAGTATGAGAAATAAATATCCATATTTTCTGCCGTTTTTAATTTAGTCTACTTTACTCGCAAATCATCATCAATTCATGTACACCAAATTTTCTTGTGACACACTGTGTATTCTGAAACCACGTTTTAAGTAAATGCAGTTAAATTTTTCTCTTTTCACTCGAATAAAAAAATTGCAACTGTAGCGATACTTTAATCTAATACAACAGATGACTAAATTTCTAACGTATAAAGCTGTCTGGCAATAGACAAGTAATACCATCTAAGTCAGCATTTCTGAAACTGTGTTCCGCGGAACCCTGAGGTTACCTACGATATGTCTAGAGGTTCCGCGAGAAAATTTTGTGTAGTGTAGTCAGAACAAAGGAGCAGGCCAGGTATACGTATGGCTTAAAAGCTAATCAACCCATAAATTGTACAACCCTATATTCCCTTTGTCATTGGCTATTTCATTTATGGGCGGAGCATAATTGATGACTCGCTGTAAGTGAATCGCTAGTGATGTTCTAGTGCGGTGTTTCAAGGAAACAGTAACTTGTCTGAGTTCATAAATATTTCGTAACATTACAAAATTACTGTGATTTCAAGTATTGATACTACTTAACCACCGATTGTTGGCTAAAAGAGGGAACTGTAAAACAAAAAACAAGTTCTTCTGATAGTAATTTGTTATGATTTAACATAAGAATATTTCTTAAAAAAAAGTCTTAAAAGTCAATAGTTTTTAGCTCAAAAGTGTTCTATGGCCGAAAAGGTTTGGGAAATGATGGTCTAACTTAATGTATTACTTCTATGATGCAATACTTAATTTATCCAGTTGAAGGATAACAATTTTCTAAAGGTTGAAAAGACTGGTGTATTGAAATGCATATAAAGTTATCTTACAAAAATAAAGCAAACAAAGGCACAAAAGTAAAATTCAAAACAAATGAATCGTTAGTTTTTAATAAGAGTTGACTATTTTATATCTGAAGAATGCATAAAATAATATTAAGTAATAAAATAAAGCACAAATAATAAGTTGTTGTTGTTTAACATAATTTTTATATGTATATCTTAGTGCTAAATAAAAAAGTTTGTAACACACATAGACATGCACATATAAATATGAATATATTGGAAATAAAAACAATGTATACCACAAAATATGGTCCCTAAAATTATGAATATTATTACAATTGGAAATAATAAAAAAATTATATCACAGAATATGGTCCTTAAAATTACGAATATTATTTGGATAACACAAAATTGTTTCTTTGTGACATCCTTCCAGACTATTGTAATGTGACTAAATTTACAAAATGAACAGACTCTATGGTTATACTCGGAGTTGTTATTGTTTTTTGTTATTAAGCACAAAGTTACACCATGGGTATTTAAATCCGGTTTTTAGCGATATAAATCCTCCTATATACCGCTGTGCCATTGAGAGTAGTTGGTGCATACCAAAAACTGCACATTATTAAAATAGTGGCACTTGTAAAACAAAGTATATGTACATCCAGGTTATATAAAATAGTAATGAAATTCACTTGTTTATTATTGCGAAATGTGATACGTGTTTCCTATTCAACAGACGACCTATAACACTATGGAATCTATAATTATTCTACCTGTACGACTACATTTGAACATAATTGTACAAAGTGTCGTGATCAAGTAGCTTTAAAGTATTAAAATTGTAATATATTTTAGCTCAATAGTTGTGTACGTTTTTAGTTATTTGAGTAAATTGTCTTAATTCATTCTGTATCACTGTTGTTATGCGATGAAAATGGAGAAGGCAAAAAATCATAAATGCATAAGGTTAACTCTATGAAATACTGAACAATATTTTTTAAATCTTCATTAATGTGGTAATAACATTCTCTTTATACCAGTTTTACACTATGGTCTACATTTTCTTATATTTAGTGTGTCAGCATCAGTGTCACGGTTTTATACTATGGTCTACAGTTCCTTATATGTATGTCAGCATCAGTGTCATGGTTTTTGATAATGTGTAGGGCTAAGTTTCTTGTACAGTAGGTGTCTGTGGCTTTTTGTGGATAAATTCGAACAATAAACGACAAGCGCACAATCAACTTGTTTTAGAATAATATTTTCAAAACAAGTCAAACGTATGTACAAAAATTCTTTACATTATAGAATATTTTATCTAAAAATCTAAATAATTATATTTTCTTGTCAAAAGTCCAGTCAGGCTCATTCAGTTAATTTAGAATCCAATTGAAAAAATGAACTATTTTTTTTGTCTACTTTGTTTCTTACTGTGCATTCTGCGATAGATTCACTTACTTTACTCCCTGGGTTACCACAGTTGTATCTTTAGAACACTTACTTTAGAACACTCTTTGACAAGACAAGTTATTCTACTTATCTCTATTAAACTGTGAAATGCACTTTAGATTATCGCCCGTTACGGCTAATCACTCACATGCCGGCTAAATTGACGTTTTCCGACTTTTTTTCTGATTGAACTTTATTTTACTTTACTTGACTTGGTCGCTTGGTCGCCTATATTTATACTCTGTTCACTGAAGCCTCGAATTTTGTATAAACTAACCGGACGACAATATAATGTAACAATACTTGCTTAAAGTAATGAGAAAAATATAGAAGATTCGAGTAACGTGGAGGCAACAATACTACAACAATTGAACCAGACACAAAACATACGACTCTTACCGAGTTATGCAACCAAACTTGTCATAACTATCGCCTTTAAGTCAATTAATTTTAACTCTCTTGTTATGAAAAGTAAATAATCATTAAATATTAAGTCACAAAATAAATTAAGTAATAACGCTGACACTAAACAGACTTTTGTATCCAACAATCAGTATGAACTGTTACTTGCGTTTGGTGGTAAATAACCATTCTTGAAGGAGCTTAAGCCTAACTTTCTGGAGGTGATTAATGTACTTAAGTCTAAAATCACATAAGCAACACTTGTTGTTAAATATGAGAATAAATTGTTGGTATAAAATTAATTCTTAATCCATTAGTGTCTGAAAAACTTTCATACATACGAATACGTCATTTAAAACTAAAATATTTTTTCTTGAAAAGACTTAACTAACCATATTGGTTAAGGTATTAATCTTAATGTTCCTATAAAATTGTTGGTGTTATAAAAACAGTTCTTGGATAACTAATTAATATTTTCTATCTGAATCTCAAAACATGGAATAAGTTTAATTTTGAGCATTAAGCACATTTCCAAACCAATGTGTAAAATTTTATTTCTTAATGTAAAAAAATAAGTAAATGAGCTTACCAGTGCGTGTGAAGCACAGTCACGAGAGAGTAAAGTTACTGTGTGAAAAAAAGAAGAATATACAATATTTTAGTTTTAACCACTCATCATATGAAACATCGAAATATGATATATAAGGAATACCACTGACATTTAGTAAATCTCATTCTAAATTCTTCAAACGTATATTTTCTCCTAAACTCGATAAATTATATGAAACTGCAAGCTTTAGTCACTGCCTTTTAGCAACATATTAAAGCGAATACAATTTTCGGCTAAAAACTCTAATTTAAGTATATTATGCCGAAGAATCAACAATGAATAAATATTTCCAATCACCAAAACCATTACACAATTAATTCAATATATTTAAAGCTGAGCTGCGTTTATCCACTTCTATATATATATTTCTTATTGTTCGGAGAACAATCCCAGTAGAAACAAACACTTTCTGTAGTAGCTAAAGACGAATAAAACGTAAAAGTTAAGTTATCCTTTTGTGCTTCAATAGCCTTTCATATGAAAACACTAAATTGTTCCAGGTGTATACATATTATAAACATATATTGAAAATATACTTTCAGTGAAAAGTAGGTCTTTTCTAGCGGATGTTTTTTATCTTTAAAGTAAATAAAACAGGGGGTATCTAAAAGTTTACTGAACAGATAGTTAAGTAGAGGATTTAGGAGATACGAGTATTCAGCTTCATTATACTGTATTAATATTTAGTATAATGTCAGTGTTTTATTTATATATGGGCTAAGAATTATTATACAGTAGGTGTCTGTGACTCATTGGCGATAAATTCGAACAGTAAACGGACAGCATGCACTCCACTTGTTTTAAAATAATATATTCAAAAAAAGTTAAACGTATGTACAGAAATTTTTTACACTATGGATATCATAGTTGTATCTTAATTAACTAAATAGTTATCTTTTTCTCGTCAAAAATCCACTTAGGCTGATTCAATTACTTTAGAATCCAACTGACAAGCCAAACTATTTTTCTCTACTTTTATCATAATACTATCAGTGAATAATTCACTTACGCAACCTCGTGGGTTACCACAATTGTGCCCCTCAGTAACACAGTGGTATGTCTGTGGATTTACAACGCTAGAAACCGGGTTTCGACACCCATGGTGGGCAGAGCACAGATAGCCCATTGTGCAGCTTTGTGCTTAACTTCAAACAAATTACCACAGTTGTATCTCCAACTTTATATAATTCTATTTGTATTAAGCAATTTATTTGGATTATCACCACGTTTTTTTGTTTTATTGTCAAAAGTCCACTTGGGCTGTTTCATTACTTTAGAATCCAATTGACAAGCCGAACTATTTTTCTCTACTCTTATCACAATAGCATGGGTGAATAATTCAGTTACGCTACCCCGTGAGTTACCATCGTGGTATCCTGAACTTCAAATAATTGTCTTGTTGTTTTTTTTTCGTCAAAATCCACACAGGTGGATTCAATTACTTTAAAACAACATTTGACAAGATAAATTATTTTCCTTATCTCTATCAAACTGTTAAACTAACTTTAAAATATTAACTGTTAAGGCTAATCACTCACGCACCAGCTAACTTCAGTTTTCTGACTGAACTTTACTGAAATTTGCTTCTTTAGTTCTCTCTTCTTATTATTATTAACTGGCGCTCGCACGCCACTTATATATATATCCTCGAAAAATAGCAAATATTCGACTAATGTGACGTTGATACGTAAGATACGACTCTTACTGAGTTGACTTCCAGTGGCACAGCAGTATGTCTGCGGACTTACAACGCTAAGAACCGGGTTTCGATACCCGTGGTGAGCAGAGCATAGATAACCCAATGTGTAGCTTTGTGCATAACTACAAACAACAACAACTTACTGAGTTACGTAACCAAATTTATCATACCTATCGCCTTTAATATAATTAACTTTTAACTCTCTTGTGAAAAAACTGAACAATCATGAAATATTAACTGCAAAATAAATTAAATAATAATTCCTACACTAACCATTCTTGTATATCCAACATACATACGTAGTACGATACTTAAAACTACATTGAAGCATTTATGAATAGTTCTCGTTTCAAATTAAACTGTAATATTTTTCAGCACGAAAAAACGAAAATGTTTGATTTATAATGTCGAGGTGCACACTAACTATTAACCTTCTTCTGTAACCATTGATTATAAACTTGTATGAGCAAACACTTATCGTAAGCAATGCTCTTTAAACATTAACATAAACGAGCTTGATTAATTGTTGGTTATAAACCAGCTTATGTTGACATTAATTATTATCTGGCTTATGTTAACATTAAGCTATAGACATAGTAAGAACTAACTAGAAACATTTACTGTAAGCCAAGTTTTTGAACATTAAACATAAAACAGCTTATGTAAACATTTATCATAAGCCACTTTTTTAACCTTAAACATGAACTGGTTTCTATAAATATTACAAAGAAACTGTTTTTTATAAACATGAATCGTAGAAATACTTCTGTAAACACTGACTATAAACCAACTTCCTTAAAAACTAACTATAAACCAGCTTATGTAAACATTATTTATAAATGTTCTTTAAGCATTAACTGTCATCTGACTTCTGTAAAAGTTAATTATACACTGGCTTATGTAAACATTAACTATAATATGCCTTTTGTAAAAGTTAACTATATCCTGGTTTCTGTAAATAACTATAAGATAGAATTCGGAAAAAAGTAAAGCAAAATGATCTTCTAAATAAAAAAACTAAGTCATACTGTTTAAGTGTTTTTCAGAATTTTTGTATTCGTATCCTAACGAACATTCAGGTGTTCTTGCTACTTTTGGTGTTAGCCAAGGAGAAAGATTTGTCTAAAAACGAAAATTCAGACAATCCTTAAGCTAAACACTGATGTTACAAATATAAATTTAGAAAATTTTATTTAGCAAAAAATACAATTCAAGATAGTTTATAATATCTATTCATATTTAACACTTAATACAGTTTCTTTTATTTATTCAACATCCATCACAATTCGGTTACTCTATATAAACGAATGCTGTTACTGCAGGTACGCTTACCCTAAACGGTTTGTTTCTTGTTAAGTTAAGCACAAAGGTACACAATGGGCTATCTGTGCTCTACCCACTGCGGGTTATTGAAACCCAATTTTTAGCATTACAAGCCTTCAGATTTGCCAGTGAGCTATTGAGTGGCTACTTTAACCGAACAAACTATATAATATAACCACGCTCAGGCTGTTATATTGATTAAACCTTCAGAAAGATCTTTTTAACGCTTCACTGACACAAATTTAATGTCTCGCTGTATGACAAACAAATAAAATTATTAACAAAATAGCAAACTGCCTAGATTCCAGGTTCAAAACTGATTCACAGTGAAAAATGAATAATAGTTAATGTATTAAGTAAATATAATTTAAGAGTATAGAAATCGTGGCTATTCCTCTGTAAAGTAAAAAATATATATAAATAATTTCTGCGCTATATAATATACAAATTTAAATATATATTACTTTTCAACTAAATCCATACGTTATACTGTTCATCTTCCCGTTTCCCAAATATATATATATATCTAACAAGAACTGTGAAAAGAAACTTAATAACAACCTCTCGAAATAAACGAGGACATTAGCCCTTAACGTAAAGGTTACGAAGGAAAAGCGACGGTGTTAAATTCACCTGCGGTTATTTTACCAGTTTATTTTGTAGCCTGAAGTTGGAAAGTTTCATTATCCTGAGTATCTTGAGGCAAGTATTAAACTATATTAAAATTAAAAGGAGTTTGTATGTCACAACAATCACGATATAAAGTTATTCTCCGTCTCTCTACTATATTTAGATTTGGTTATACTATACTTACCTATCCTTCAAGTTGCTTGCAGCCTAACCATGAATATTCATATAAATAATACTTCATAAAAACCAAAACATGTTACCAATTTTTTTGTCTACAACAAATAATTGTTAAATATTACAGAGAAGTCATGGGTCAACACTTTCTTTCTGATTCGCCAATATAAAATAAATTGTAATTTATGTCGTCAACTGTTTGATGGACTAAATGTAGAGTTCTGAATAGAGTTCTTACATGAGACTTTTATGAAGCATCGACGTACGTCTTCAGTATTAAATTAGATAAATAAAGTTAAAAACGGTACCAAGAGAATTGTTAGAACCGATAATATGTGCTATAAACACTGGGAACAAGCTTTATAGAAATGTGGCGTTAATTTTATTTTTGTTTAAGGCACATATTCTGTAAAAATAAAGTGATGACGTTAGGGAAATGAACAGAAACCTTTTGCTCAATCTACCTTTGGTAGATGAGTGGTAAAACTTAAGATTCAGTATTACAAATTAATGAAGCTATTCTAAGGTGCATTATTCAACTTTTAACATATGCAAAAGAATGGTTATTGACAAAAACGTTTCAAAACTCTAGTTCGAATTTCAAAGCTTTTTAATCCGGCACAAAAATATGCACTGTTTCCATCTGTCAGTTTCTAAATTTATATGTATGTGTGTGTGTGTGTCAGAGTTGTCCATCTGTCTAGTGTTACAAATTGTTGTGAGGAACTGGCCCAACTAATTTCGATTGAATTTGGTAGAGAAACTCAGGTGAACCTTCTCCACAAGAACAACAAAGATGTAAGAAGATCAAATTGAAATGGATAAGTAATCGGGCGAACGGTTCTAATTTGACAACCATTTCAATCGCACCGAATGAGAGCTCAACTGAGCCACGAACAGCGCCAATATTAATAGGAAAGTGACGTTTAATGTAGCTCATAAGTACGGTTCGTGTGTTGTGGTTACAAACTAGCGGAAAAGCGCCCCTTTTATATTACCTTT